CATAGCTATGTACTAATATGTATATATATATATACATATTAGTACATAGCTATGTAAAACCCATATATATTCGTATGTATTCTGTTGCATAAACAATTATACATATATATATTTTTATATTTTATATATATTTATATATATACATTACACACATACAAACAGCAGTTACCGAGCACACAGCAACTGCACGATTGACATACATACAGACAACACACACACACACACACCTACATACATACATACAAAGCGCACCGCACAAAACGAGCACACACACACAGACACATATATATACATACATACATATGTACAATCTATATATATACAAACACATACATATATTCACTCTCGCACATATATATACATATAATTATATGTATGTATGTTGATACAAACGGACACGCAGACGCTGGGACGGACAAACAGACAAACGAACGGACAGACGGCCGGTGAGACGACGATGACGGCGTCGACGACGACGACGTTGGCTTTGGCTCTGTGGTGTTGGTTGTTGGTTGGCTGTGGCTCGCTGCTGCTGCTGTAGCTGTAGCTAGCGGCGGCGGCGTGGAGTGGAGTACGGGTGGGTACAGGAGCGTGTTTTGCGCTTGTGTATATATGCATGTGTGTGTGTCGCTGTTTTGATGTATGCGTGCGTATTAGTTTACATGTGTGTGTATTTCTTTATGGCTGTTTGTATGTAAGCAAATGCTATTTTTTAGACAAGTTGCTAACAATTAAATCAAAATTATTTAAATTTCTGCATAACAATCGCACAATAACAAACTCAGATCTAAACATATACAAAGCAAAAACACACAAACTTACAATTTACATTTTACGTCACACTTAAGATGGTAGTGGCAGGTTGTTGTTATTGTTATTGTGGCAATTAACAAAACGATAACACATAAACAACACAATAAAAATAATAAAGGATCTTTTTTGCCAAACGCACAACAAAATTTTTCTTGATTGTGGAGCACACACACACGCGAAGCGAATGAAAAAGAACGCTACGCTAAAGCGCGACAAACGGACGATAGACGGGGGCAACAACAAGGCAAACTGGAAATGGAAGCGGAAAAAAGCGAAAAACGTCGCTACAAACACAGAGTTGCATGGTTGGCAACCCGGTAAGCAGAGTTGCATGTGTTCTCAAAGAGCGGCGCGCCAATGTTATCGGTCAATCGATAAGATTGCAATAAGCGCTTATTGCATGTTGCAACTGGTGCAGCTGCAAACAAAATTGCAAAATTGAAATTAAAACATGCCTTCGACACAACTTGCAGCATACACAGAGATCGGCAAGGCGACATTGTCGGCAGAGCGCCAACTTTAGGCATCGTGGCGCACAAAGAGAGCGACTAGAGAGAACGCACATCTGTTCAGAGGTGTTACGCTCAAAAATAGCGAATGGCAATGTGAAGCGCAAACGAACCGTTTTTGCTACGGGTGAGTGTATGGGTGCGTGCGTGTTTGTCGGTGGATTCGTAGCTGTTGTAGTATTGGAGCGCGCCCATGTGAATGGATGGATGGGAGGGAAAAACAAATTTGACAATTGTACCGCGCGTACGAACGAAATGAACAAAACAAAACTGAAACGGCATTGCTGCTGCCTGTGTTGTCGTTTAACGTATGTGTCGACGCAGTTGCCGGCGTGTTTGATGGATTTTCTCTTTTTTTTTTGTAGTGGGACTGTGAGTCTGCGACGCGCAAAAATTTGAAAATTTCCCGCGTAAACGGATAACAGTATATGTTGATATTGTTGCAGCTTATTAGTGGCAATGAATAATTACACCTAAGTCAGACCAATATTCAATGCGCCCTCACACCGGCGCCGACACACACTCACACACACATTTGTAGAAGTACATATACATACATACATATGTATATGTATCAAGTGTAGTAAGCATAGGCAAAGCGGCGATTGCCCCGACTGTAAGTTTTAAAACTGTATACTCATCACGATACTTCTGCTGGCGCTGCTGATGCTTCTTCTTCTTTCCCAACTTATTTCAGATTACGCTGCTGCTCTCTCGCTCGCGCTCACTCTCTCTCAGTCGCTCTCGCATGCTATGGGCCAATATAATACAATACACATACAAACATACAAAAATATATATATACACACACATCCATACATATGTATGTATACTTATATAAGTATGTCTATTCATATGTATATATGTATGTGAGCTGAATGCCATGTTTGCATGCATGTGTGCGTGTATATATGTATATGTATATGTATATATATCGATGTGTGTGTGATTTGGTCTATATGCAAGTACAAATTTGAAAGTAACCCGCTTCTCACCCCCGTTGATCGGCAACTGGTAGAAGTTTGGCATTCGCCTAGCTCCGCAACCGCTGCCACGGGATTCATTAAGAGCCACCAACTATCGGTAAAATAGTATACATATATATACAAATATATATCGTATATATGTATGTATGTATTTATAATAAAACGATAACAAAACTTTTCTGTTATACATACACGTGACCTTTTCTCTGGTTTGTGTCGTCGTCGTCGTCGGCGTCGGTTGTCATGCGAATTTTAGATACAATTCCTAAGAAAGTTAACCTTGCAGATATTTTTATTTTCTACTTATTTTCTGGTTAAAAACTAAAGATTTTTGAAAGGATATTTTGAAAACTAAAAATGTTCGTATTGAAAAAATGTCCCTATTCTCCAATGAGAGAAACTATCTTAAGGATATATCATACACAAAACCAAAATTTTAAGTAACTCATTGTAATTTAAGAAACTTTTTGGAAAGGTTTTTGTTGAAGGTCGTATTGAAACAATAAGTAAAAGTTCTATAAAAGCCAAAAAATAACTAAATAATTAGTTTGATAACATTTCAAATAGTCATAATAGTAAAATCCTTAATGGCAATTACTAATTTATATTTCTTGTCAGCTGTTCATATAGAAATAGATTGTACTTATGCACATACATACATCTTATACACATATTATACAATATGATAAAAATATAGTAACAAAATATGACTCATTTAAACGTATTTCAAATTTGCAGTATCTAGAGTTGCGATTAACTTTTCCTATGAATATGCCAAGTACCGTATTTATTATATAATAGCTATATAAATATATTACATTATACATGTACATATATATTATATAGGTATTAGTAGCTAAACCAAGGAAGTAGATAATCTACATAAATTTAGACCATTTGACTAATAATCATAAATTTTAATAAACTACAATTAAAAATTTATTGTTAGCTACTTGTTTTTTTGTCTACTTAGTTCTACCTATTGAATACTTTAGATACTTTCCCTAATGAAATCTATAAATTGCTAAGCTAACTATTATGTTAAATCTAAGCTCCAAATTGGACTTATTCATTTCAATTACATTTGGTGAAGTTATTTAATCTATGGTTCATTAGGTATATACATATTCATATATATTCACATATATATAAATAGGTTACCGCTATACATTTGCTAAACATATATCATATTACATGGAAAAAGTATGACCAATTACTATACTCTTTACTATTTAGGTTACGAATTCATCGTGTGTAACAAAATGTTAGTTAAAATTAGGATTATTTAGTAATTACTAATTGGAAAACAATATTTGATGTGATATTATCCTGATGGATATAGTTTTCCAATTTAAGCTAACATCCGAGCTTATCGATCTACGATCTCCATTTGGAAAAGTTGTATGAATTATGAAATTGTTAATGATTTTCTTCAACCAAGAAGAACCAGTTCAATTTCACAATATAAATAAAATATATATATGTATGTATAATAATAAATGTCATTTGGCAAAACATAAAAACGCTAAAAATTTTGCATTCTCATAAGAACTTGGCTTATAGCACAACCACTTAGCCATTAATAATCAATATATTACATATGTATGTACACAGACACACACACATACAAATAAATACATATATACATATACATACATATATAGATAGAGATATATGTATGTATGTAACTTATTTTATACGCAAATTTTAAGTGCGCAGTTTACGTTTATATAAATGTATGTACGTATGAATGTGTGTGCGTGTGTGTTTTGTGTGTGTGTGTGTGTTTGTGAAAGATTTAAGCGCTCACCTAACCATTCACTGCGACCAACCATACAAAGAGGCTGCTGCTGCTGCTTAGTCGTAGATACAGCAGCGAATACAATATTGACAGATTGATGGATATTTGTTGAAATTCTTATAGATTTCAATCCTCGCCAGCCTCGGCGTCCTCCTCGTCCTCGTTGAACGACAATTTGCTGCTGCTCGACTTTGACTTTTTGCTTTTTTTATCCTTCGATTTATGCGGCTTCTCCGATTTCTCTGGTTTGTCCTCGGTTTTGATTTTGGGCTCCTTAACCCGCTGCTTAAATACAATCGGTTGGCTCAAATCCGCCGGCCTCTCAGCTTCTTCTGCAATGCAAGAATTTGTTCATTAGTAAAATAATCACAAGAGTCTAATAAAATCTTTAGACAAGCATTAACGTCTTTTTTATGCCATATGGGCTGTTGCAATAGTAATAATAGTTTTATGCTGTGAACGACTCCGCCTCCACCTCCGCGTGCAACGCAACACGCCCCATTCCACATCCAGCGTCCGCCCATAAATGAGATAGAAACTGATTTTAACTCAGTTGCGAGCGTTTTCCTAGTTGCCTCCCGACAACCGCCCACAAATCCCTCTCTAACACCCTTCAGCCCACTCAACCCCATCTGAGTAAGCGTCTTGCAGTGCTCCTTCGCCTCCACCTCTTCGCCCATTGGACAGAAGACAGTGGCTACCGCTGCTGCTGCTACCGCCGCTGCCCCCTTTAGACCATACACATACATCCACACACATCCACACACACACACACGCACACATACATGTGTCGTCGTCAAGCCACTTGCCGTGCTCTCTTTGTTCGCCTGTTTCGTTCATCATTGTCTCTCCCGTTTTGCTGCTTCATTCATTCTTTCACACGTTTTCACCCGATTTTCTGCGCGGGCCTTCTGACAGCAGCAGAAGCGGTGGCGTCGGCGGCGGCGGCAGCAGCGGCGGCGGGTTGATGACGACGATGGCGATGGCAAACGGTGGCGGCAACGACGGCGACGGCAGCAGCAGCAACAGAGCGGCAGCTGTTGTTGGTTTTGCGATGGCAGCGACGGCGACGGCGGCTGTGGGTCGCCGTTATTTGTTAACTTCTCTTGGCTGCCTGCTTTATCGTGCGCTCCGCTTTGGCTATGATTTTCATCACATGCTCCGCTTTAGCGGAGCCCCAATGAAAATGTCAGTGTGTATGCTTTGTGCCAGCTGTCTATGTGTGCGTCTGTGTGTCTGCGACTATCGATGTGTGTGTGTGCATGAGGGTGCTCCGCTGGCAGTGCCACACTAATTGCAATAATCGAAAGCCAGGAAAAGACAAGGGCATGCGGTACATGGCACTTGGAACTGCTACCATAGATACGCAAGTGGGCGTTGCATTGCGTTGCGGGCGTGGCACATAGAACTTACAACTCCCCCGCTCATCCACACACTTTGCCCTCTTCATTCAATTTTTCGAGGTTAGAATTGAAGTCAAACATGAAAATTAATTTTCCATTGAGCACAAACAAATGAGGAAACTGCAACAAATTCGTACTTTTGCAAACACACAAGCTCAGAGAGCGAAGAAAAAACAGAATTTATAGAAAATCGAACACTTTGAATTGCCCGCAAAAATTTAAAATGTAGAACGCGGTGTTTTTTGCCGTTCGGTTTGCTGCACTTTTGCGTATTTCAATTGCATTTTGTTTATGTTTCATGTACATATAAATTTTTAAGATTTCAATTGCAAAAACACTCGCGCGAAAAGAAACAAACACAGACAGATGCAAGCACACGTTCAGATATACATATATACGTACATACATTTACATATATATACAATATATATGTATATATATATTTCGACATACATACATACATACGTACACAGTGTAGGGCAGAAAGTGGCAGCGTGAAAGAAGCGTGGAAGCGACCGACGCTCGATTCTGACTCAACTGAACTGAAAGCCAAACTGCCACAGACGATAACTACATCCTACCTACGCACACACCGACACGCATTCACATTCACACATACAAACGCAAGTGCACACTACAGCATACATACATATACATATATACAAATACACAGCACGTGTATGTGTGTGTGTGTGTGTGTTTGTGCATACCTTTCGCTATGCGCTGCTGCTCGAGGGCCACCTCATCAGCCGTGAGATCCCCACGCGCTAGGACCACAATCTGTGGCTTTTCGTCTTCTCGCTCAGGTCGCTCCTCACTGGAGTCGTAGTCCTCCTGATCCAGATCCTCTAGTCTTTGGCGCTGTTTATTTTGTTGTTTTATTTGCAACAAAGCTGAGCATGAGCGGGGGCAACTTTGTTTTGATTCAGCGACTGCGACAACAGCTTACCTTTGTTTCGACGGTGGGCCCCTCCTTGTAGCCGATCTCCGCCTTGAGTTTGGCCAAAAAACTGGGTTCCTGTGGCTTCACGTAGGTTATATTATTGCGCTTGGACATAGCAATAAAGACATACGTATAGAAAATTGAGTTTCTTTCAACGCCTATCAATTGGGCTTTTCTTTCTATTTTGGTTGCCGCCGTTTACCTTCTCAGTTTGCACGGCTGTTCGCATCAGTGTTGTGAAACGCACTTCGATCACCATACGATTGTATGAATTTCAGCATAAATTGAACTTATTGCACTTTTATTTTGACTTCGAGGACATTTATATTTATTTTTCTTCAATTTTACAAAATTTTTGTTTTGAAACTTTCTTGATTTAATGCTTCAATATTTGTATATTTTGTTATCGTTTACAATTTTTTTATCGATATATCATAGTTTACAAACAGCTGTTTTTATTACGATGTTTCTTGTAGTGCGCATGAGCGCCATATTCGCTATGAAATTTTAAGTTTGACTATTGTGAATGGCGGTTAATTTGAATTTGATTTGAGATAAGTTTAAGGTTTAGTTGAATTGAAACAGCTTATTCAGCGGTGTTATCATTATTGAAATATAATTGGTTATTGGTATAAATATATACGATTGAAAATGATTTGTTTTGCAGTAGGAGCAGTAAAAACTTTGAAATCCCAACTGTCGCTACGATTTGCTGTCATTCATCTGCACCAATTCCCATGACAGCTTTCTCTTCCGTTATACGGTCAATTTGCTGAATCCTGCTGCCAAATCACCGCAACGCTATCTATGGCCAATAAAAAAGAAGAGAAATTGAGCGAGCTGTCGCATAACTTGCAAATTTTCCACTTCACCTGCAATTCGATGCCGTCTAAAATCGAATTTTGATCAAAACTGACAGCCAAACAATACACAGCGGCATTCATCAACGTTCGCCGTTGTCGCATGCAGCACCAGCACGAGCACCAGCAGCAGTCGCGGTAGCTATCAATCCATTTCCCATTCCCTTGAGCTTCTTCCCCCTCTAGCCTCTCTCTACCGATGCTTCATAATAAATCATCTGTAAATTGATTTCAAAAACTTGCTGCAAAAAACGAGCATTCGAGCAGCCGCTGGGGCTCACATGTTGCCCCAACTGCAGCGAATTTATGCATAAAACAACGACAACAACCACAGCAGCAGCAGCAGCAGCAGCTAGCAAAGAGTTTGAACTGCAGCCTGGCACGCGCTTAAAATCTCACAAGCGTTCCCTCAACTAATATCAAATTGATAGCTTTTAAATTTGATTCCGCGTCTTATCACCAAAAGCGACAAGTTCGACAGGCCCAAATGGAGTGTGCACAGACACACACACTGTGCGTCTCACTCGCTCCCTCTTTCTGTCTCTCTCTGGCACTCTCTTTCCTTATCTGTCTCTATCTCCCTTTAGCTGGCAAAGTTTCTTTTACTTTCTGGGCTGCATTAAAAATGAGCAGCGCAAAACATTTTATGTGTTGCAATGGCAGCAAACTGTGCAGTAGAACGTGGCGTATGCTAGCTATTCCACATACCCTGTAAGACAGTGTTGAGTGGGTATGCTTGAATAGATTTTAGTTATAATGCATCAGGGAAATCCTTATGCATATCGCCTTATGTTAAGCAATTACAGCCTACGTTCCATATGATATACTTATGTAGCTTATGCAAAAAAAACTACAGGGTATATAGCCTTAGTCAAGTTACAAACAGAACTTTCACAAAATTTACTCTTTAAGTACGAATTTTTATGCTATTCTGTCTAGTGTATATATATTTAATACCTCAACGCATTACAGGGTATCACATAGTCCACACAAGATAAGCTGAACTCAGCTTAACTTAAATAGCAAGCTTTGTCGTACTATGTAAATAACTTGCTAATGTAATACTTCAACTTGTCAACTTTGTTGACAAATTACATGGTATCATGTAGTCGACCATTGTGGACTAAGGTCGTAAGTGGTTCAGAATAGTAGAATTATGCAAATAAATTGCGTCACTTCTGTGACATCAAAGTTACATGAAAATTGTTGAGTGTGTTTACATCGTTCATGCAATGAAATTAAAGGGTATTATATGGTACACACTAGTTTATAACCTCAACTTTAGTTGAGGCTTACCGCATTTTAAAAGTTTTCAAATGGATTGTTTTATATTTTAAGTTGATAATTTAACGGGCTTTTAGGCATGCTTTTTTAGTTAATTACAGGGTATATCATAGATAATCATAACGTATAAAGTTGTTCTATAGTTAAGCTTGATAATGTTACTGTTTTCTAGGCATGCTGTTTTGTAGATTATAAGTCACTGGGTGTATCATAAGTGATCATAAATTATAGGGTATGTCATAGTTTATCATAGCTTGACGTGTTTTAATATAGGCGTAAAATGGTATCATAATGCAGATGGTATTGCTTTTTCTGTCTAGGAAAGCTATGAACAGGGCAATGAACTTGTCTTGAAAATTATAGGGTATACTAGATCGTAGCTAAATGTGAAATTCACTGTGCTAAATTACTTTAAATAGCTGACAGCTCCGCATTGTGCAAGTAGTTTAGCTTCGTGTGTCTAGGCTAAGAAGTTACAGGGTATTCTGTGTCTATTACAGGGTATTTTCTAACCCATTCTTTTATATAAGTTGCAGTTGAGTAGCAAGCATCAAGTACTCTGTATATTCTAACTATACAGTCTGGCTGTCTTTACAGGGTAGCTGTTAGCACAGACCACTATTCTCATTCAACTATCAGCTGTTGTTGTTCTTCTTGTGGTTTGGTATTTGGTGTGTGTGTGTGTTTGTTTGTGTGTGTGGCAGATTGATAGCAATTCGAGTGGCTTCCCTTCTTTTTTTTTCGGCTAATCTCTCTCTGCAGCCGTTTCGGCTTGGCCTTGACTAAGCTCTAAGTTTTAGTTAAACATCTTTAGTTACATATTAGCAGCAAATACAAATAAACACATATATGTGTGTCACATGTATGTGTGTCTATGTGTAGCCAAGGAGTCACATGAGTGACTTGAGGAAAAATGTTATCACACGCTGCATCCGGCCGTGCAATCGGGCAGCTGCCGTCGCATCGTCGGCCGTGCTCGTTGCTGCGCTTCGGTTTTACGGTTTCGGTTTACGGGCGAATCGTGCACGCGTTTTTTGCCAACACTCAGATGCTCGTCGGCATTTGGCGCGTGCAGTTGCAAAAGGCGCGTTGCAATCGAGAATAAAATACACCCAAAAGAAAGAAAAGCAAAATCAAATTCAAAATTTTCAAATTTGATTCGAAAACTCAAGTGAATTGAAGTAAACCAAAGATAAACACAAACTAAACTAAACTAAGCTGAACTGAACAGAAACTAAGCTGGCATGAGTGAGCTGAGTGTGTGCTGATAGGCCGCAAGTGATTTTGGAGGCGCGTTTCGCTAATCTTGCAACTAGTGCCACATCCGCTGGGCCAGTCAATCGTAGATGAGCTTGGATTGAGTTGCCTCCGAGTTTCGAGCGAGGTTCGTCTTACGCGTGTTCCACTGTTGCCAATTAAGATGCATGGACTCTGGCCACTGGCCATGCTCGGCCTGTGCCTGTGCCTGGCCAGCTTTGTCAATCTGAGCGACGGGCAGTTTGTGCACTGCCCCACCGCCTGCACTTGCATCGCTCGCACCGTGCGCTGCATACGCTACCGCTCCAAAGTGCTGCCCCAACTGCCGCTGGATACCCAAGTGCTGTAAGTGTAATGTGAAGGGGGCGATGGGGGGGAGGGGGTAGGAGCTGGAAGTGTTCTAGCTTCGGCTATGCTTGGTTTGGTTTACATGCATAAATCATCGTCAAGTTTTTGGCTTTTCGCAAATCCATAAATTAGTTTTTAATGTGCCGCGAGCTGTGGATGAAGTCGGCACTGGATGCTGCCTTGATGGGCTCCTTCGGGCGCCACTCTGCGCAGCCCCTGCCCCAGTCCCAGCCCCAGCCCCAGCTTGCCTGTTGACTCAATTAAACGCTGTCTAACTAACGGCAGAACTTGTTTTTTCTATTTGGTATAGTTGTATGCGTAAAAGCACGTATATATATATTTGTATATATGTATATACCTATCAGAACTGACGTTGCGTTTATGCATTTTCCAAATGTCAGCACTTTTCCCCATGAATTTCCACTCAAGTTTCAGCTGTGGGTCGCTGCATGCAACTTGGCAAATGTTTGTGAAACATATGCATATTTATGCGATAGGCTGACTGCACCACCCAAACGCTGAACCACTCAGCCCAACTCACCCTCCGCTGCGAGGCAACATCAAAAAACAGTTCAAAGTACGATTTCTGTATTCCAAAGAGAATTCAATGAGTGCACTATTTTTTTTTTTTTTTTTTTGTGGGTGAAAACTTAAAAAAAAATCTGTTTGAAAAAAGGAGCAAACTAAAGATCTATAGATCTATATTTAAATATCTGTATTTATGTATATTATATTCTTGTTTCTCTACATATTCAACGACAGATTTCTACTCTATGTATATAATTATGAAAAACTGGCGAGACATTAAATTTAGTTATCTTCTATAACAAAATCTCTATATATGAGAGGAAATCTATTGAATTAAATTGAAAAAAATTCATTAAATATTATTTTGTGGATTACAGCCGATTTTTATGTCATATATCATATTTATAAAACATACTCGTGCATTGGTTTATAAATATGATAATATAATCTAGGAAACAATGATCTATATGTAGTATTATAACATGGGAATGTGAGGATAAATCGGTAGCGGTTCGCTAAGCTGTAAATAAATATATTTTATAATTTCTCCTAAAAAAAAAGAGGATAAATCATCATATGTATATACATAATATACATATACGCATATACTTGATATCGTATATGCCTCCTTATATATACCGAATATCTACTGTATTATAAATGACAATTAATAATCTATAACCTAACCACATATAGAGTACCTAGATTTTTTAGATTTTAGATTATAATTATACATAGGTCTATAATTTAACAATTTTTATGTCTAATTTTGTATAACAAATTCAAGTTATGATTTAATAACTGAAATACTGTGTTATATTTAACCGATATCATTAAAATGGAAACACTTAAACAAGATTAGTAAACTGCTCTAGCTTAATCTCTAGGTTCTCTTTATACTGATAGAAGCAGAGCTAGATGAAGTCAGCCTTCTTGCTTTAAATCTTTAAAAGTCCTGTAAGT